ATCTTGCAGAAATGTTAAAGAACATCATACAACGTTTTGCAGAATAAAAAAACAGTCTTCTACCGTTTATATAAAATATACTCGAGTGTAACTTTGTTCGTCCATTTAAATTAGGTAACACAACCCTAATTCTTTGCCAAGTTGATTTCGAATGCGTCTCTTAAATCCCATGTTTATTGGGACACCCTGTAGAATATAATCTATATATAAATTTGGCTTGTCTGTCTGTCTGTCTGTCTGTTTGTATCCAATAAACGTCAAAACGTCGGTTTGTTTAAGGAGGGGTATTTAAACCTTTTAAAGAATTGGACATAAAAAACTCTTATTTAAAAAAAAAATTCTACTTGTAAACTCGGTATACTCGAAAATTCAACCCTTAATCAGCTGAGAACTTGTATTTATAGAATTGGTATCTTCGGTAAAGCAAGGTTTAACAAAGTAAAGTTTTAATTAATTCACACTCACCTCCTGTTCATTCACAATCGACACCTGTTTGATTTCTACTTTGTTGTTTTATTTTGCGGTTCTATTCGATTTTTTCTTAATTTCTTCATAATTGCACGTCCATTCCTTCCTAATTCCTTCTCGAGTTCTATTCCATTTCTGCGCGATTCCTTGCCGATTCCTTAATGATTTCTCTTTGATTGCTTCTCGATTTCTTCCCAATCCTTTTTGATTCCTTAAAGATTTCTAGTTAATTTTTTTCTAAATTCTCCTCTATTCCGGTCTCCTTCATAATTCCTCCACGATTTTTCATCGATTTTTCCTTGAGTTCATCTCGATTCCTCATTGATTCCTTCCCGATTCCTCCCCTTCTTTTAGCTGGTTCCACACTAAAAAATATTTAATACTCGAATAATTTTACAAAAGATCATTTAACCAACTCTAACTCAAACCACTCCTTTGAAATTGTCCTTTTTTATAATCTTTCAAGGTTTGCAGGTAAATCCGAAATTAATCTTTTCATTTTTATGACTTTTAGCCTTTTATGCAGCATCTAGCCTTTAACTAAAGAATAAATATATATATGTATACATATCCTTTATATATATATACTAGGTGGAGTGTTCGGATTGCCCAGCCAGGTTTATATTATTTTCATAGTCATAGTTACTCCCACCGTTTGTTTATCCGTACTTGGAATAAGCCTAAGTCTAAAAAAATTGAGCAAATTTGGTCTAGCCGTTTGGCCAGCTATAGCTAATACATATGTAACGAAGATAACTGGCAAAGCATGAAACATATAAAGTTTAAATCTTTGTCAAATAAAAATATATACAGTGAAACCCTTAATAACGAATACATCGGAAGAATTTATCAAATGTCGTCTTGACAATTTTTCAATGAGTTTTATACTATATTACGTAAATTTCAGTATTTGCGAAAATAAATAAATTGCCATGAATATGCGGGAACAGTTTTAAAGAGTTCCATATAATCATTTCATTAAAAACTAAATATCTGCAACATTCCATTATCAGAAAGTGAAGAATACGACATTTGATGAATTCTTTGGATGTATTCGTTATTAAGGGTTTCACTGTAGTTAAATATGGAAATATACATATAAATATATATTTATACACAATATAAAGATACATAATCCTTAATAAAAAGTGATTTGTTTCGTGTTTTCAATTCTCCACGTCCTGGCCTATATACAGTCAGGTGACGTATGTCACAAATGGGTATATCTCGGAGCTAAATTTACCCAAACTAAATCTAAACATTTGTATAATATTTCATCTACTCGGAGACCTCGGTTTGATTATAAATTAAACTGGATACAATCAAATTCAATTCTTTAGATTTAATTCTAATAAAATGAATGTGATTTACTTCATGTAAACGTCATGTTTTGCAAATAAACTCCCAAAATAAAATAAACTAATATGTTTCTTAAATCTTCGAAGTGCAAAATAAATGCTGAACATGATTCGATTTAAGATCTAATAAAAATTTATTAAATCACCTTTTTCATTGTGCAAGGGCGCTTTATAAAGAAAAAATCGAGAATTGTAGAACTGTAGGACTGTAGAACTGTAGAACTGTTAACTGTAGAACTGTAGAACTGTAGAACTGTAGAACTGTAGAACTGTAGAACTGTAGAACTGTAGAACTGTAGAACTGTAGAACTGTAGAACTGTAGAACTGTAGAACTGTAGAACTGTAGAACTGTAGAACTGTAGAACTGTAGAACTGTAGAACTGTAGAACTGTAGAACTGTAGAACTGTAGGACTGTAGAACTGTAGAACTGTAGAACTGCAGAACTGTAGAACTGTAGAACTGTAGAACTGTAGAACTGTAGGACTGTAGGATTGTAGGACTGTAGAACTGCAGAACTCTCGAACTGCAGAACTGTAGAACTGTAGAACTGGTGAAGGACGGATCGTGAAGGGGGAGGAGGAAAGCTGTCACGAGGTTTACTGTATTCTAATCCATCAATTTTTCTCTTTAACCTTATTTAAAAACATTGTTAAATCCACTAAATCATAAAGAATAAGATTTCAAAAGAATTTAAGTTAAAAAAATAATTGTTATCTTTCAAAATACATATATTTTTAAATGCTAAATGATGTTGATTTAACAACAATAAAATATATTAATTTAGTAATATTCCCAAGCCAGGCAAAGTTTTTTTTTTCTTCTTTATCTTAAATTTATTTTCCCTGTAAAGTTTTTACAGTTTGCTATAAACTCTAAACATTCTGCATCACCGGCCCACATCACTTATCAATTAAATTTGATTTTCAAAAAAATGCACATTTATGTTTTTATTGGAGTCAGTTTTTTTTCTCAGTAATCAACACACAAATCAATTTTAGAAAGGTATTAAATGGACGGAGCATTTCATTTTTTTACTTCAAATATGTTCTTTCTTGATTTCAAATCATGAACTACAGGGTGTTTCAAAAAACGTTCTTTTATAGACTACAGCTCTCATGCAGGTGAGATTTTTACATATTTTGCCATTTTCTAAATCTACGTGATTATATTTCCGATCTAAGTACGCCAACGAATGGTTTGTAGCAAAAAGATGTTATGTAAGAATCCTCTTTTTAAACATTCTGTATTATATTACTGATTACGATTTTTAATTTCTCATGCAAAATGATTTTTTTTGCATTCTTCAACCCTGGAATAGATCTTAACAAAAAAGTATAAATATTAAAAAAACATAAGAATGATCGTATGATTACAACCATGTCAGAACCGCAAACAGATCCAGAAAAGCATAAACCTCAAAGATTGTAAAAATCTGTTGGATTAGGGGATAACTTCCATCCCAAATCTCTCAAGGTTATTTATATGTATATGAAAAGATTTACGTCCAAGCCTGTAGCTAAATATTAATTTATCTCAGTCCTGCATACGGTCCAACACTAATCAAAACTAATTTCTAAACGTGATAGATTTGATATTGTGAAACCCCGGAGAAACCCCGACATGTGTTTTCATCCTTGTCCTGAACCTTTAATGGAAAACCTTAATTATATTTATATATTGAGAGATAGTATGCGTACAAGAGAAATGCGTCCTGTATGGCGTGAATGTGAGAGCGTGTTACGTGTGCGTAAAGTTTAAAAAGTGTGAGTGATTAGGTTTAAACGTGAGAACATGAGAAACTAGAAGAAGGGTAAATCAAGACAGGAAGCAGGACGAATATCAGCGGAGCAAACACAGTTCTTATGAATAAAAATTTATTGAGAACCGATATAAATAGAAGGAATTCAGTTCATAAGAGTAATAAAAGATGACGAATGTAAGGAGAGCATTTGGTATCTAAGGACTTCAAAGCTCCGGAACAAGATAAATGTCAGCAGAAAAACTTAATTACTTAAGATAATAGGAGAATAGCAATTATAATAATTTAGATTTCTAGTATTAAAGCAAGGCAGAAAGAACGGGGAAATCAGAGAATTTCAGATAAAAGTTATAAGAGAACGACAATAAAGAAGCCAGATGATACGGTAACGGAAGGATAAGGATCGAAGGAAAAAATATTGGAGAAAATGAAGAGAAGGAGGGAGGGTACACAATTAGAAAAAGAACCAAGAGAAGAAAGAGAGAGAAAAGAGTAAGAGAATCAACTCAGATGGTTTAAAAGGGGGGGGGGGGATGGGGAGAAAGAAGATGTGAAAAGACCAGAAGATTGGTGAGCTGGGTGATAAGGAGAAATGGGCGGGGAAAAGGAGGGTGAAGCGCGCGTACTGGAGAAAAAGAAGAAGATGTAAGATAAAAAGGAGAAGAAGGGAAGGTTCAGGAGGGGCTGTTGGGAGGGCTGAGGAGGGGCTGTTGGGAGGGCTGAGGAGGGGCTGGGAGGAAGGGAAAAGATATTGTAAATGCATATTTGAACAAGAGGAGAGCCGGAATTTAAATTGCCCTGATATGTTTTGTAGACAATGGGTTGTCAGTTGGTGGAATAGTTAAAGTTTATATCTAGATTAGATTGTTCACGTCCCTTCTACTCCTTCTCTCTCAACCCAACATGGTTTAATACCCTGTTAAATCTCTAGGTATAGGTTTACACAGACAAAATGAAGAGTTACCCAACCCTTCTTCACGAATGAATTTAGTAAACATATTCAATTTCCATCGAAAATTGAATTGAGGATTATACACTTTAAAATGAAACTTATACTCGAAAATTATTCAGTTTGTACACTGCTATAAGTTTCAAACAAAATTACAAAAAGACTGATAGATATGTGATATTTGTTTTAAATCCCTAACATTCTATTATTATTTTTAAACAAAATCTTCGTTATTTAGAGTTATTTAGAATAACTTGGTTGGTATTTTTCTTTGTCTAAAAGCGTACTTTTAATTCTCTTTGCAACTTTATTCTTATAAAATATTTATTGTGAATTTAGACAAAATCTTTAGTAAAAGTGTAACTAATTAAAACTTTACTTTATGATTCTCTTTACTATTCTCGAACCAGAATTGTTGAACTAGAAATGTGAATATATCATTTATTTTACAACAATAAATATCAACTTGGTTACAAATTATTATTAAACAATTGATTTAAATATCAAAATTTAAGAAATTTCGTAACATATTGGCATATTTCCTACACCGAAATGAAACCTTCCACAAGTTTTCACCCTTGATAATTATTCAGTATTCATTCATTCTTCTTCTTGGGAATATATAGAGATAGTATCACAGTATTCCTGCTGAAACCAGAAATGGTTCAATAGCTAGGTTTAATATTTGACATGATGATGCTGGTTGACTAGTAGATCTTGATTAAGGTCGGTACTCCTATAGGTTTGGATATATCTCTCCGAGGTTGTGTGAGAAACTGCTCGTGGTGTTCAGTTTGGTAGTGGAGGAGGGGGAGGAGGAAGAGGTCTCTGGATGCTTCGGTCCTTTCCACCAGGAGAAGGTTTCGGAGGAAGTTTAGGAGTTGTCCTGGTTTTAGGAGGAAGGATAGGTTTCCTCTGAGCTGGAGTAGAATAAGGAGGGAGACTTGTTAGTCCTGTTCTTTCGGCCTGAGACTCAGGGAATAGAAAAAATGAACTCTTACTCTTTGTAATTCCTTGATTATCATTTCTTTTGGAACTTCCGGTTTCCAGGGAGTCTGCACTACCGTAGAATCCAGGTTTAGGAGAAGCTCTTATCCCACCTCGTTCCAAGGTGTCCGGGTCAAAGTTGAGAGCAGTGGAGGAAAACCTGGAAGGAACCTGATTAGAATTTACCGAGATGAGAAGCTTGTTAGAATAGACTGACTCATTATCTCCGCTGATGGAGATCATCATTTTCTCTCCTGTTGAATATTCATAACCTTGTTCTCCGTGGTCTCCAGTACTCTCCAGCGTGCTCGCATCATACTCGTTATTTATATACACCTCAGCAACATTCTTCCTTCTACCCTCCTTCATCTTTACATTCACCACTTCATAATCATCTTTCTCCGGCTCAGCTTGAACCCTACTGCGTCCTAAGAGGTTAGGGTTTGTGTATATATCCCTTAGTCTACAGTTGGAGTTAATATCGAGACTGTCGTATTCAAAATCTTTTCTCATTGTGCTGTTGGATGAGTAAAGACTTTCAGAGTCGCTTGGAATAACCTTTGGAACCTTTGCAACCGCGGTGTTGTATAATTCACTGACAAAATCCTTTTTTTGCCGATTATTCTTAAACCTGGTGAACTCTGACTGGTGGAGAGGATGAGTAGGAAGAGAGGGTCGACTATTTGTCTCAATATATGTATCTGAATCCGTGTCTGTATCATCAGAGTCGGCAACATCAACAGTTTCGTTGTCTGTATCAAACTCGTTTGATGTAACGACGTCTGTTTGTGTATCGCTGAGATCACTGATACTAGAGGATCTAGTGAGAATCCCTGAATCCAAACTCTGAGGATCACTTGTACTCAACTTCTTCATCTGAGACTGTGCAGTACCCTCCTCTTGTGTTTCATTAATCTCCGTCCCAACCTCGCCAGGATTACCATCATTTGTTGCTCTATCAGAATGACTATCATTAGATTTACCAGTTAAAGTATTGGCACGACTCTCCTCTGGAATACCTTCAAGATGCGGAGCAAACCTGCGGTTATGGCTTCCGGCGGGTTTGGGAAGGCCGGACCCATTGCTCATTCTGGGACTGCTCAGTTCTATTTTATTCTCATCTTCTCTTCCTTCCCCCACATTCACATCATGCTCGGAGTCAAATATATTCCTTGCAACCTCTCGGTTGAGTTTACCCTGGACAACCTTCTTGTGAGCTTCAAGCAGTTTTTCATTCATCTCTAGAACTACTGACGCGTCGGAGTCGGAACCAGAGCCAGATCCAGATTTCTGAAATTAGAATAGTTTAGTTCAAGGATAATCACCTCGTTATATTTCTCCCAACTGTAAAACCGTTTGTGAACCATGAATCCCTATTATGGTTGACCAAAGGCTGAACAGATCTATTCTCCAACCTCAGCACATAGTTATATTAGTTTGTAATACTGAACCAGAGAGGAGTAATTAAAGGATGAATGAATGGAATTAGGTGAATGATTATATGAATATGAAGATGGTGGATCAAGTTTTAAAAGGATTGGAAAGGGGGGGGGGGTAGGTTTATCGCTCCAAATATTGCTTTATAGACAGATAATTAGTTTAACCAATAGTTTTTGCTCCTTTGAAACTATACGCATTATGCATATATTAAATATGCGTAGATTTAAGTAAATTATACCAAACTTCTTTATCTTCGCTGAAATTAAAGATTCCGTAAATGGATTTGTTTAATTATTCTCCGTGTGGGTTAAAGGAGATGTGGGTTTAACGATTTTCTAACTTTAATCTTCAAAATGTTATGCAAAGGATATAACAACAGTATTAAGCTATATGTTGGTAGGATGAAATCAAACGCTTTTACGAACTATATGTTGGTAGGATGAAATCAAACGTATTTACGAACTATATGTTGGCAGGATGAAATCAAACGTATTTACGAACTATATGTTGGCAGGATGAAATCAAATGTATTTACGAACTATATGTTGGTAGGATGAAATCAAACGTATTGACGAACTATATGTTGGTAGGATGAAATCACATGTATTGACGAACTATATGTTGGTAGGATGAAATCAAACGTATTGACGAACTATATGTTGGTAGGATGAAATCACACGTATTGACAAACTATATGTTGGTAGGATGAAATCAAACGTAATTACGAACTATATGTTGGTAGGATGAAATCAAACGTATTTACAAAGGATGAGACTTCAGAGACGACTGCTGACATTCATAGTCACCGTAGCTTTAAACTTGGTTCTTTCTTTGCCAAAGCATTTCGTAAAGCATAATAAATCTATATTCAAGGCAAGTGATTCAATTCCACCTTGAAATGGTTATATTTAAGCGCTAAAGGTCGTCTAACTTTAAAGTCTCATCCTTTGTGGTTATCCCTGTATATCCAGGTTGTGCAAAGTTATACACCAGAGATGCCACACTTGGTGTGCATTAAATAAAAATATTTTGTAGTTTTGAGAACTAATTAATTAACAATCATAGAACACAACATACGATAATTCCTTATTAATATAAAGGAATTGAGTCTTTGCCACAAACTCAAATTTTCTTTTCTCAATATCTTTGCAGTTTGATGGTGTAAACCTGTAATATTTTAAACTTAGATTTTTTGATTTCACATAATTAAGTTTAAAAAATCAGACTCAATTCCTTGTTGTTCTAATTTCATCTATTTACCTTGGTTATATCATAGATATGTTCCTGGTCCTGCCTAGAGTGTATGGAACAGTGAGTTGAGGATCTGGAACTAAGTCTCATCTTGTTGTTCCCAGAACTCCCAAAATAAGGATTAAAGGAATCCTCTAAACCCAATATTTTCGAGGATTTGTGCCCAAGGCCTTGCGGCAGAGGAAGGTTTAAGAATTCTTCTCTCAACCTTTTATCTCTCTGATGCCTTCTCCGGATAAGAAGAAACACGACCATGGCGAAAAGGTAGAGCATGATTAGGAACCCGGAGCAAATACCTATTGCAAGATACTCTCTCTCAGTTAATTTCTCTCCTGTTTTCTCTATCTCAGTTTTCTTAAGTTTTCCTGGAAAAAGTCAAATCATCATATATCAGACAATTAAACAATATATTTAAACAATATCAAGTTTCCTTCCCACCATGAGTTGACAAGAAATAATTTGAAAATAAAGTAGAAACCTGGAGAACCCGCCACACGAAATGATATACACGGAGAGTAGAGAGAGTTCTCCTTCCTTCCTAGATCCTTACAGAGAAGCTGGATCAAAACCAGCCGTCCTTCAAGGGTTGAATGAAGGCTCTCTCCTCCCATCCACTAAAATACGGTGGTTTAATAAATCAACTGATGCTAACCAGTAAAAAGAAATATTTCACTGCGCTCAACTTTTTCTAGCACTTCCAAATCAATATTCAAACCGCGAGCGTATCATTGATCCTAATCCAATCCTCAATCAGATCTGACGGAGAATAATTCTTTATGTTTGATCTAATCTAACAAAACAATGTGAGCACACACAAAGAATTGTAGGTAGAGGATCAATAATAAGGATGAGTATGAATATTGAATATTACGTGGTAGAACTACTACCTGGAGTAAGGTTCTCTTCCCCTCCTTGAAAAGCTGGAACGGTTGCTGGAATTGCTCCGTGATGTTTTGTAGATCTGTCCATCCCGTCTCCGTCATTACATTAAAGGTGGAGACAACACAAACCGGAGAAGAAACTGAACCCTCTGCAGGAATCGAAATATCAGCACTGAAAAATGTTTGTCATTAAACTCAATTAAAACTGTTTTTTAAAAAATTGCAATGCATTTTAATCATCTTTTATGTTGTATATGTTGCATACTAAAGAGTGTGTATGCTGTATTGAAGTGTGTGTATGCTGTATTGATGTATTGAAGTGTGTGTATGTTGTATTGAAGTGTTTGTATGCTGTATTGAAGTGTGTGTATGCTGTATTGAAGTGTTTGTATGTTGTATTGAAAAGTGTGTATGCTGTATTAAAGTGTGCGTATGTTGTATTGAAGTGTGTGTATGCTGTATTGAAGTGTGTGTATGTTGTATTGAAGTGTTTGTATGCTGTATTGAAGTGTGTGTATATTCAATTGAAGTGTGTGTATGCTGTATTGAAGTGTGTGTATGCTGTTTTAATGTATTGAAGTGTGTGTATATATTGTATTAAATTAGTATAGAAGGAGGTGTATGTTATACTAAAGTGTGTGTATTTTGTATTGAAGTGTGTGTATATTGTATTGAATTTGTGTATTTTGTATTGAAATGTGTGTGCTTTATTGAAGTGTTGAAGTGGGTGATTGTTGTATTGAAGTGTGTGTATGCTGTATTGAAGTGTGTGTATTCTGTATTAAAGTGTGTGTATACTGTATTGAAGTTTGTGTATGTTGTATTGAAGTGGGTGTTTGTTGTATTGAAGTGTGTGTAAGCTATAATGTTTAATAGTTAAATAGATTGAACTGACATAAATTAACCTATTCTCCTGAAGAATACAATTAACGTAATATTTGAAAAATGTTAATGACAATTTGTCCATTACATTTAACTGTGTTTCTAGAGTCACACGACCTTCGGTAAAAGAACCCAGGTGGGGCAACAAGAACATATATTGTATTCATGTCCCCACATTCCAGTAATAAATAGATAGCTAGATAGATAGATAATACGCAATAAAACAAATAGGTTGAGGAATTTTTAATTTGTCAAAACATGAATTTATGCAAAATTTTAGTATTATTGTACAGTTACAAAAACATTCAACACTCTCTTTAAAAAAATACTTAAAAATTAATGAAGTCTGGATTTTCATAGATTCTTGCATACGAATGTAAAAATCTCAGTTCTTAGTGATAGGATCCAGTTAAACCAAATCTAATATTAAAAATGCACCTTCGTTCGAAAAGAAATGGCAAAGAATTTTTAATTTTTAAATCTGAAACTTTACAATCACCCACTTTCAGCAATTTACAAGTTTTTTAAAATAGATTGAGATAAATTAGTTTATCTAAACAAAAAACGTGATTCATTCGACAGTTAGAGTTAAAAAGGTTTTCAAGAATTAAAACACCTTTCTTACATATTACATAGAAAATCAATATATCTCTTAAATAAGACAAAGAAGTATATATTTTGAATAAGATGAAAAAAGAATATTTATCTCTACCTAAGTATAAAATAACGTGATTGAACCTATTAATATCTCTTCTAGTTTCCTTTAATAAAAATCTGAATTTAAAAGAATTAAAGGCGTAGGTATCAGGGAAGTAAATAATCGGCTTGAAACGGCCTGTAGATGAAGATTAAAGATAAAACACCCTTGCCAACCAAAACATTGAATTAATAGATATTCAAGCAGTTATTTAGTAGATAAGGAGGAAGAGAAGATCTTTATGCTCAGAGCTATCTTTTTATCCCTTGATATATTAATAGGCGGCCATTATTTTTAATCTCTCAGGAGGAACTATGCAGTTAATTACTGTTGAAAGTATAAATGAGGTTTATGCATGAAATGAATATTGTTGAATGTAATAAATTGCATTTAACTTGTCAAATACAGGGCGAAACAAAAAACATGAAAAAATGGAATCAAGATGTCGTCTTTATTGGTCTTAATGGTCTTTACTTTCAAAACATTATAAATGTATTATGCGTGTAATTAAGGGTTGTTTGAGAGTAGAGTTTGTGTTTGTTAGGGAAGTATAAGAAGGATTTGTGTGGGAAGTAAAAGTAGAGTTTGTTAGGGAAGTATGAGTAGGGTTTATGTGTTTTTAGGGTTGTCTGAGTAGGGTTTATGTTTGTTAGGAAGATATGAGTAAGGTTTATGTTTGGTAGGGTTGTATAAGTAGGGTTCATGTTTGTTTGGATTGTATGATGTGGTTCATGTTTGTTAGGAAGGCATTCGTATGGTCTATGTTTGTTAGGAAGGCATGAATACGGTTTATTTTTTTTAGGAAGGATGAGTAGGGTTTATGTTTGTAGGAATGTACATATGAGTAGGGCTTATGTTTGTAGGAATGTACATATAAGTAGGACTTATGTTTGTTAGGGTTGTATGAGTAGGGTTTATGGATCGTATGTAGGTGAGGGTAGGTTGGATCTACGCATATTGTTCCATGATACTGTATCTGTGTAAAATCAGATTTATCTACCGCTCAATGCTTGCAATTATGATCCTAGGGTTCGCATATTCTGATGCATATCTATTTATAATATATATTGGTTAGCATATATTCAATCCTGCCGGTAGAATAGCTTCTGACAAGAATAGTTTCAATATTTCCAGGATACACACATAAAAAAATGAAAAATACTCGATATTATATTAATGGGTCCCTGTCACATGTCACCACGCGGCTTATGTATTAATGGGGGTAAAAAAAATGTGTTTTAAAGGTTTTTAATTTTGTAAAAAAATTAAAATTCTTGAAAATCCGTGAATTTTTTTAAAAATACCGCGAAATTTTTTTCTTCTTTGTTTTAAAATGTAAACAAAAATAACTGTTCACTATTTAAATAGAAGCGCCCTAAAAGCCTAGTAAGAATAAATTATTTTAGCCGAGTTTAGTGAAATATTAAAAAAACCATTTTGTTTTTTTAGTGCTACGCATATTTATCTTGGTGTTCGATGTGTGAGTTTTATAATATGGTTTACAAATGATGTTCGAACAAAACCTTACCCACTAGATAATAAATAGCCAGACATCTAGTAAATATACTAAAATATAAAAAAGTATGGATATAAGAAACTTTATTCTTTAATTTATCAAGATTAGAAAAAAGTATTTTCTTATTTTATATTTGAAAATTTTAACAAATATTTGTACTTTGGTGGGTGTATTATTAAGAATTAGTTTCGTCTTAGAATTCTGTTATATAGAAGACTGATGGTTACTCAGACAAGACTTAAACCATATGTCGTGCTATTTGAAAACATGTAACTAAGATAAACGAGCTGGTCCAGTTTAGAGATTTTGGAAAACTTGGCAGCTTCACAAGTTTAATCAAATTAAGAATGTACGAAACGTTATGATATCAATATTTGGATCAAATAGTTTCAGGATATATTTAGTCGGTGCTTTGCTATAAGATACGGATTACAAGGGGGAGGTGGGGGGGG